GCTGGCATGTCACCAGGGTGTTGGCGCCGGGGGCGGGTGGGATGCAGCCATGTCACCCACAGGGATGCTCCTGTGCACCCCCGGTGCCACACCGCCACCAGCCGGGGCGTCGAGCGCACACACGTGTGAGCTTTGCCCTCCCACGCCACTAGTGCAAGAAGTTGTCCCCACGTCGCTGTTTTGCCCCAGAGCCACCGGCTCCGCTGCCGTCCAGCGATGCTCTCGGGGCTGGTATGGTGCATCACGCCCAGCGGGGCTTGGTGCGTAGGACACGGGGTTGTCGTGTCCCTCCTGGGGAATGTCATCGCTCCAGGATGGCCCAGGACACAGAGATCGGGATGCTCCTGATGGGTTCCTCCAGCTCCTGCCATCCCCAGAGCGGGCTGTGATGGAGGGAGGGGTGGAGGGAGGCAGCTCTGCCCACAGCCAAAGTATGTCCCAGGGCCGAGGTGGTCCAGCAACTCTTCCCCAGCCCTGTCACTGACCCCATGGTCACATCGCCCTTCCTCCCCTCTCCCTCCTCCTCCTCCCCCAGTGAGGGCTGGCACCGCAGCACTGGTCCCCCTGGGCTGGCCTCAGCCCTCCCTGCAGGCCTGAGGAGCCCCCGGGGTGCGAGGAGGGGTTTTTTTTGGGACCACCTTGGCCTGGGGCATACTGCCCGTGGGCCTTCCCTCACACCTGCCCACGAGCGGCACCGGCCTCACGCCTCACTGCCCCTGTGAATCAGTCCGGGAGAAGGATTTACAAAGGCAACACCCAAAAAAGTCTCATTGAAACCAGAGGCCGGGGAAGGGGGGAGTGGGTGATGACCCCATGCCACAATTGGGGTGCGCGCAGTGCGCTGCCGGAGGATTCACAGGGCTCCCGCCGTGCTGCTGCTAGAAAAACCTGGGCAATGCCATTTATTTTTGGTTTGTACAGCCTCGCCGCTGCGGTACGACCTCGTGGAGGGCATCGCAGCCACCCTTGGTCCCTTGGGAGGAGCAGGGACAGGGCAGGGCTCCCAGGATGTGCCCGTGGCACGTTCCTTTGCCTTCTCCCCGGTGCTCTAAAGCCCCAAAGCCGCAGGGGCACCCACAGCTGTCTGCTCAGGGCCGGCGGGGCTGGTTCCCATCCCTGCTGCCGCGGCTTTGATCGCGAAACTACAGCAGCAGCGGCGTGTGCCGGGTGCTGAACTGGCTCTTCCCCGGGACGGTGCGATCTTTTCCCGCACCCAGGCCGGTCCAGCGAGGCGAAACACAGCACAGGGAGGGCAGCGCGGGGCTGAGCCCCTCCAGTGCGTCCCTTCCCCGGGGGATGCCCTTTGCTCAAGCAGCACAAACTGCTGCAGGCTGGGAAACAGCAAACCCAGCGCCCTTCGGTTTAAATACCATCTTTTCCCCCCCTATAGCGTAGGTTGCCATGCTCGGACACAGGCCTGAAGCATCAGAGCGCTGAGGCTGTTTCTCAGCAATACGAGTGGCCTCTGCTGCCCTTCAGCCGGTCCTTCTCGCAGGAAAGCCTTTGCCCTTTGTGCTGTGCAGGTGCAGCTTTTTTTTTCTTTTTTTTTTTTTTTTTTCTGAAGAGCAGCCGGGCGCTGCTGCCCTTCGCAGGACCGGTGCCGTCCTCGGAGACCTGCCTGCACCGCAGCCCCGTGCCACCGCTCAAAGCCGGGCGAGGAAGACCTGGGTTTGGGGAAAGAGGGAGGGAGAGCCTTCTTTTTGCCTTGCAGCTGTGGGCTGGATGGGGAGCGGGGCTGGAGTATCCAGCCCGTGACCCCAGTTTTTTGTCACGTCAGTGTCTGGGACATTTTTCTGAGAGATCAAAGACTTTGGTGCGCAACCAAGTCCCAGATGCTGAAGGCTTGGTGGCCCAGCTGCTCCCATGGTGACGGCGATGTTGTCAAGGGAGAAAGCGAAAGGTCACTTCTCTGCGGCCAAAATTGGAAAGCGAAAAGTCCAGAGAAAGTATTTTGTGTGTGTGGACAGCAACAGAGCACCAGTCAGAGAGGGATTAGGGGGAAAGAAAACATCATATGGGTGCATCGGTGGTGCCCGTGCAGCCCAGCATTGCCGCCTGAGAGCCCGCGGGTTGGGAGGCGGGACCCCCAGCGTCGGTCCAGGGGTCTTCAAGGGCCTCATCCTGCAAAGGCGCTGGGGGCTGCCAGCACAGGCAGAGAGACCCGGGGCAGACACAAACCCCCAGCAACAAGCCCAGATGGGTTTTCCAGCCCATTAATAGAGGTCTGTAACAGCTCAGCCTCACTGATCAATACGGTTTCTATTTCAAGGCTGCGAAACTACAGTCAGAGCAAAGGACATTATTTAAACATAATAAAAGAGCGAGAGCTCAGCCAGCGAGCACGAGAGCTCGGCGTTGACCTGTTGTTTTTCAGCCACAGCGTTTAACTATTTGCAACCCCTCAATTATACTTTATAACACGCTTTTATCTTTCTCCGCGCCGCGGGGAAAGGCTGACGACCAGACACCCGGCTCCGGTGCGTGGGTCCGGCTGATGCCCGGACAGACACCACCGACTCCTGCAAACAGGGCTGAAAGTGTCTCCTGGGAATGGCCACTGACAATATTTGCATGAGAGGGTCAGGCTCTGCATGTCTTCGGGGTTTTGTAGAGCTTGGTTACAGCCTATAGAGAATAGCTGGGGGGAAAAAAAAAAAAACAAACCAAAAAACCCCAAACCAAAAAACCCAAACCCAAACTGTGTCGGTGAGGTTAAGGAGGTGAAAAGATGCTGCTGAGCCTCACGCCGTAACCTCAGTGCCCGCAGGCCTCAAAGCAAGGCTGATGGGCATCCCGCTTCCAGCCGGCGCTGCCCGGGATGATTCGGGGCTTCCCGGCACTCCGGCTTTGCCCGAGCGGCAGCAGCTATTTCAAAGCCCGGCTTTGCTTTCTGGGTGCCCGTGCGGCTCCTCCGTGTTGAGCCTTTCCCTGCCCCTGGCCAGACACAGGTGGCTGCTGTTTGCTTTGGAGTTTTCTTTTTTTTTTTAGTGTTATTTTCTGTCCTCGAGCCTGTTTGAAGGGTCTGCTACCGAGGAGCCTAAACTGGGGAGGGGGGGTAGAATCCTGCCATGCCGTGCCATGCCATGCCGTGCCGTGCTGTGCCATACGGTCTGGACCAGGGGATTTTCTGCAGAGCGGGACTGGTGGTAAACCATCCCTCGGCATCACCCTGTCACCCCCTGCGGCGACCAAGGGACGGAGCACGCAGGGACCAACGCAGCGCGATGGCCCTTGTGGGGCTGCGTAGAGCCACCAAAGGGAAATGGGGATGGGGACAACTGTGCCAAGAAGCGCCCAAGGCTCTGGGTGGGGGTGCAGAAGCCTTTTGGCCATGGCTGGACGGGGTGGGCTTTGGTGGTGTCCCCAGGGAACAAGCTTTGCGGCAGGTTTTGGTGCCCTCGTGTCCCCGGGGAGGACATGAGCTCTGCAGATGGGTGTCCCGCTGGCTGCCCTGTGCCCAGGGACCTCACTCCCCTCTCACCTCTCTCCTTTTCCCCCCCGACAGTCACCTCGGAGCAGATCGAGCACTTACACCGGCGATTCAAGCAGCTGAGCCGGGACCAGCTGACCATCCGGTACGGCGCTTCCATGCGCACCGCTGGGGCGATGCCGGCGCCGCCGGGGGCTGCCGAGGGTGCTTAGTGGAGATTCCCGGCTGCCCACGCTGCGAGGACAAGCATGTCCTCCCCGGTCATCCCACGGCCGCGCTGAGCCGTCTTCTCTGCAGTGTGGCATTGCAGATAACAGGAGGAAAATATTGAGTGGCGAAGCAGCGGCCTGAGAGCAGAGTCGCTCCTGCCAAGCAGCCCGTTTTCCCCGTGCTTTAAAACCAGTCTGGGGGATGGAAATGCGAAGTCCCTACACAGCAGTTTTGGGGGGGTCTGGTGGGGGGGAGGGTTGCAGCTGCCCTTGTCCCCCTCCTCGGCGTCTGCGGAGGCGATTGAGCACCAATATCACAACTCCGCTTCCTCCGGACGACTCCGGCACATCCGAGCGGCTTTTACGCGCCTCCGGCCCCCGCGGGAGGAGCCAGCGGGGCCGGGGAGCCCGGCTGCCCTCTGCTCCCCCCACCCCAAGGTTATTTTTTGGCTTTTTATAAAGTCGATAGCAAACGGACAGCACAGGCTCAGGCTGGTGCCTGGGCAGCACAACGCGGGGCGGCAGCGGGGCAGAGGAAGCTGAGAGGAAGGTGGAGGGCAGAAGCTCCTTCCCGCACCTCTTCCAGCCCTGTTCGGGACATTATTCCTGGGAAAACTCTCTGAAAACCATTTGCGGGTTGAGCTGTGCAAAGGGCCCCGAGGCGCTGTGTCCCAGAGCTTCCCAAAGACCCATTTTTAGTGGGGACAAAACTCCCCCGTTGCTGCACCAAGCGCAGGCTGATGCTTGCTTTCAGTCTGAATTGAGGCAAATAGGGGATTTCCTGCAAAACCTCTTTTTTGTTTTCTTTCTTTTTTTTTTTTTTTCATGATTGCTTTGAAAGAATGGGGTTGGGGCTTCTGTCCCAGCCCTTCGCTGCCTGTCAGAGCATCTCCCTCCTCCTCCTCCTCCGCGGCTCCCTCACGCTTTGGGCTGTCTCCGTTTCCTTTGCAGCAAGGAGAATTTTGACAGCATCCCCGATCTGGAGTTCAACCCAATTAGGGGCAAAATCGTCCATGCCTTTTTCGACAAGCGGTAAGAACATCCCCGGCACCGCGGCGGGAAGTGTGGGGGGGTAATTGGGTTATCCTCTGAAAGCGGGTCATGGCTGGGCAAAGATCTTCTCCCTAAAGGCTGGGATGGAGCCAGGGTGAAAATTACAGACATTTAAGCTAAGTCTTAGGGAAAAAACAGCCCTAAAGCTTTGCTGAGGGATGCGGTGGGCTCTGCCGGGGTGGGGGGGTGGTCTCGGTTGTCCGTCACCGGCAGCTCCGCTCTCGGCAGGAACCTGCGGCAGGCGTCGGATGGGCTGGCGGATGAGATAAACTTCGAAGACTTCCTGACCATCATGTCCTACTTCAGACCCATCGAGATGAACATGGATGAGGAGCAGCTCGATCGCTTCCGGAAAGAGAAACTCAAATGTGAGGTTTGCCCAAAGCCCGGGGACGGGGAGGGGGTGGGGGACG